TTTAATTTCTTCAAAGCATTATTTTCCTCCGAAGGATCATTTTGGGATGCACTATAATGCGTGTTCCGTTAGTTTTGTAGGCCCAGCTTGGCATGCAATCAGACTAAAATAGGAGACTGGGATTTTCCATTGAAGCTGAGCTTATTGAACCTCATCCACCTTGTCATTTCTTGGATGTAAATTAAGGAGCTTCAGTCATCTTGTTCATTGTTTGATGACTCCATAGGTCCCGTTCTGTGAAAATTAACTAGAAACCCAGGGCAAATAAACCTATTTCGCATTGATACGTTACCTCTCATTATTTCATACAAAATTACATAAATTTTTCACAAAATTTAATCTGTTGAAATAGTCGTAGCGAGCTTTCAAGAAGAGATTGATTTTCGCGTGTCACCTTCCGCCACAGATTTTTCTGTAACTTTCAAATAGGTTCTCTTTACAGATAAAGTCAGTTATGAAATGTTTTTATTATCTTGTCCTTTTAATTTACTGAAATATTTTTATTTTAAAAGTATGCTGTGGTAACCGTTGTTACGTTAACTTGAGGGGGGGGGGGAGAAGCCCTCGCTATATGGGATGTACTTACGGTCCTTGCTCGCGCTTGCATGCGTGCTGGCACGTCTCAAGAATTAATTATTGCAATTTATCTTCCCGTTCCTCACATGGTATCCGGTCCTTCCTGGATCAAATTTCTAGGAAAAGTACGTTCTTCCTGACGTAGATCACGTGACATTGAAGTACCATAACTTAGTCAATCTATGTAATAAATAAAAATAGACATTCATTTTTTATTAGAAGCAAATTGAATAGACATTTGTATATGGATGCAGCGAGTATGCGTTAAGCCTGCTTGCCTGCACGATATCGGAGCAAGTTTGACACTTCAAGAGCTCGAGAATAGGTGTATGCGATACTTCAAATTCAAGTTTTTATGGAAGTTCTTCAGAGCATATTTTTCCTCCAGAGGGCTCGTTTTGGGACGCAGCATAATGCATGTTCCGTTAGTTTTGTAGTTCATTAAATCATTTATTTATAGTCCATTCAATGTAGTGCATTGAATCGTATACAAAAACGCGAACAATTAAGCATCCTTTAAGTTAATTCTTTCAGCTAATATTATAGATATTCACTCTTTATTTAGACCTTTTTTCACAATGAAGGGAAGCATAAGTTTTTTTTTTCCTCTCGCGTGTGAAGTTCCTTCTGGTACTCAGAAATTCCACGTGGCGATAAATTGATGATGATGCTGAGCGCAATAAAAACCGTCAACCGTTAATTAAAACCGTCAACCGTTAATTAAAACCGTCAACCGTTAATTAAAATCGTCAACTGTTAAAACTCAGGGACAATGATAGCATTTTTGGCCTAAATTAGGATTAATGAAACCTGAACACGCGGCTTGGATAATGCTCATTGAAGGGATGTTTACGATAGGTTGCTGCTGGTAGAAGATACAGCCTCCACGTCGAACACAGACGTCTTGTATCAATTATATTATTTAATAACGTTACAATCTTACACAACTGAATAATTTCGAGTCGATGTAAAAATAGCGGTATTACTGATTCATATCTCAGTCTCGGGTGCATTTTCTCGTAGCTCGTGGCCGGGTACTTGATATTATTTAGATTTGTAAACTCACGATACACTCGCAAAATTGAGACGTGCGTATCTCTTGTGAAGACAGTGACTGCCTTATACTCCATTTTTTCTCTTACAGATTTTCCTGTTTATTTCCGACGTAGTCATTGCATTTTTCATTGATGCACATTAGCTACATATTTAGCTATTACATTTATAGCTATTACATTTTTTAGCTATTAAATTAATGTACATTGACTGGAAACTATCAAAAAGTTATTGAGCAATTAGCAAACGTAGGTCATTAATCACGTATCAAGTTCGGTTTAATCAACAAAGGCAACAAAAATCAACACAATCTAATCTGTTAACTTAAGCTGTACTACAATTTGGTCGACACGGTCGAGCCGCAATTTTGTATAGACATTGATACGGTCGAGCCGCTTTCGTGCTAGTGAGCCGCAATAATAGACAATATACTGTATTAGTTGCGGCAATGAATTTTTGTCAGATAGACAACCTAAGAAAGTTGATAATGCTAACTTATTAAATATTCCGCCAGAGTACTAAAGTTATCGCCATGCAGGTTTGTAAAGAAAAGTGAATTGCATTCCGCAGAGAATGCATTTACTATATTCATCCTAAAATCATGGCCTAAAATCTTTGTAAGCCTGGATGAAACAAGCATTAGCGGGGGAAAAAGTGTACTAACATGCATCAGAATAAACATGAACCACAACCCTCAGGAGCTCGGACGCTATAGGGACAATTAGTTGGACCAGGAAGTCTACTTTACATTTTCCCTTGACACATTCAGTAGTGTCGGTACTCGAGACGACGTCAGTTGGTACCCAACCCTCGTAGGAAGAAGTCTACCTCTGCTCGAACAAGCATCTTGGACCGTAACATATCTTTACGTTGATAATTGCTTACAGTTCAATAATACCTTATCTGTTTTCATGCTGTACGATGGAAGGTCTAAATATACAGTTCAATATTAAAGATCAAATTGAGAGAAAAAGTGTTAGGAACGCAAAAACGTTCATGAATATAAAAATTAAAAAGTTCCAGAGGAAAATCAGAATGAAATTAGAGTGAGTAGTAGGTAGAAGTAGTGACGTGTCGATTTCCAAATTCTGTGAAGATTTAAATTCTTACTTTAGCAATGCAGCTGATTTTAGATAATTTCGAAAATAATTCGCCGGCATAAATAAACAGTCAAAATTTCTCAGATAGTTATAAAACTTTAACTAATAAACCACACTCATCCTCAAAAGTGATACTAAGTAATACTCAAAGTAATCAGAGCTCAGTTCGAGCTATGGCATCCCATTAACATTCCTCAAAACACAGCCTAAACTCAAAATAAGATAATTCTTCAGCATTTATTTATCGGTACCATGAGATTTCTGAACACAGGAATGAAATTAAATTAATTAAAAAAGGTTCCCTGTGGCATCAACGGTTGACGTTTAAAATGCATCTTTGCCTTTTTTCTTTTCAACGTGTCACAGATCTGTGGCGTACGACAAGACTTAATCATGTGATGTAGGGTACTTTAATTACTTGCAAGGGCCATAACAATTAGCTTAGGACAATCCACTAACTGCAATTTTTGACTGATGTTTTGATATACCAAAATACCTTGATGTGGCGAGCAGCTTGAATCAATCAGTTAATAGCTAATTTTTTATAACTAACTCATAACTCATATTTTTTGCTACTCCAGTGAGCTCGACTTTTCGACTAACAACCTTGACTAAAAAATGTCATCTCATCCAGCGCTTACCTAAAATGCGGTAATGAAAGCCGTAGAGCTGCTTCTGTTCAAGGTAAATAAGACTGTGATGCAACAATAAACATCAATAAAACTTGTGATCTGTAAGACAAAGTAACTTTATGTAAGTCAAAGAAGAAGAACATGTCTAGAGAACATGAATGTGGCCGTCAAAAGATAGAGAAATCGATGTCATAAGAGGAAGACAAGAAACATATTCTCTCTCTGCGCCTGAAAAAAAAAACAAATATTGTCGTTAACAAAAATATTATATATAAATAAATATTAACAGTGAACATTAGTGAAATAAAAGTTGTTTCTGTCTCATCAACTGCATTGAAGCCGATGATAATAATTAAAAATATAAAAAATGTCGCATGAACAAATCTAACACCTTGATATTAAAAATTAAAAAAAAAATGGAGGAACTCAAATAATGCAGCAGAAATCCGCTGGGTACTGTGGCAGAAAATATTGATTTTCACGTGATCAAACAGAATTAAATTTATTATCCATTTACTGAATACATTAATGAAAGAATATGCTATTATAACGTTCACTTTAACCCGCGATTAAAATATGTTATAATAGCGTTCACTCCAACCCGCGATGACAGGATATGCTATAATAACGTTCACTCCAACCCGCGATGAAAAGATATGCTATAATAACGCTCACTTCAACCCGCAATGACAGGATATGCTATAATAACGCTCACTTCAACCCGCTATAGCGTTCACTTCAACCCACGATGACAGGATATGCTATAATAGCGTTCACTTCAACCCACGATGACAGGATATGCTATAATAACGTTCACTTCAACCCACGATGACAGGATATGCTATAATAACGTTCACTTCAACCCGCGAAGAAAGGATATGCTATTATAACGTTCACTTCAACCCGCGATGAAAAGATATGCTATTATAACGTTCACTTCAACCCGCGATGAAAAGATATGCTATAACAGCGTTCACTTCAACCCGCGATGACAGGATATGCTATAATAACGTTCACTTCAACCCGCGATGAAAAGATATGCTATTATAACGTTCACTTCAACCCGCGAAGAAAAGATATGCTATTATAGCGTTCACTTCAACCCACGATGACAGGATATGCTTCGCGAAGAAATGATATGCTATAATAACGTTCAATTAAACCCGCGATGGAAAGATATGCTATAATAGCGTTCACTTTAACCCGCGATGACAGGATATGCTATAATAACGTTCACTTCAACCCGCGAAGAAATGATATGCTATAATAGCGTTCACTTCCACCCGCGATGACAGGATATGCTATAACAGCGTTCACTTCCACCCGCGATGAAAATATGCTATAATAGCGTTCACTTCCACCCGCGATGACAAGATATGCTGGATGAGAATTAAATAGCGGCACATGAAACACCTCACGCACTTGAGTCTCAATTCAAGGAAGACCGCTGCAGGAAATGCAGGATCAAACGTGAAAAGTTGACGGAAACTTTTGACAATCTTAAATTTACTGTCGTTACCAATCATTAACTGACATTGTTCGGGGGTTGTAATAGTCCTATCTTGACATTTAAATTGAAGAGAAATGAATCGCGTTATTAAAGAATTTAGTTCAATTTACGTATATTTTCAGGTTTATGCAGTCCGTTCTTCCAATTCATAGTTCGAATACATCTGGTCAAGTTTGACACATAAAATTTTCTAGTGGAAATTGTCAACATCCAAAACAATGTGTCGTCTGCACGGCAGTTCAAGTTGCACAATAGCGATGCTTTTAGTTCTGATGACTTCAACATTAGCTGGTGAGTACTCAGAAAAGTTCTTAAATATTATGATTCGGTACAATTGAATACTTGGTGCCTTTGGTTTGGCTTGTTATATGGAAGTTTAGTGATAATATCTCTTTTTTTTATAAAAATCACGGCTGAAGCTCGTTCAAATTAGATGATTGGGTTATCTCAGGCGTTGTTATATCAGTTGGTTGCATTGATGATAATCTTATTAAAAATGTTTCTTCGTTTTTTAATATAATTCGAGACAGTTAATTTGGACTTAATTAGTTTCTTTGTAGTTTCGATTGATAACCAAACTTGGTGGTAGGGAAGTCATACAACTGATGGTATAACTGATCTATGTAGCAATGTAATATTGGTTTGCGTCGTGCGATTAGTAGTGGTTGAACTGGTAGCTTTAGTGAAAGTTGATTTGTTTCACTGAAAATATTGAAGAAGCACATAAGGTGCATCCGTAAAAATAGACGACGGTAATTAAACATTATTCTGTGCAAATAAGGAAAAAATTAGCAAAAAATTAACGTAGATTTTAGATTAGATCTTTGATCTTAGATTAGATTGAACACTTTAAGAGATAGAATTTATTTACAGATAATTATCAATAAATGCAATTTGTTAAAAATTATGTTTAATTTAACAAATAACAAATGTACTTTCGACAAGACACAAATCAGAAAAAAATGTTCAACATGTAAAAAATAGCTATTAAACTGTCAAATTTTAAATGAAAAATGAGAAAATTCAGAGATGATTTTTGCGCTTAACAAACAACAGACCATGAAGATATGAAAAAAATCACATAAACAAGAATTTGGAAATGACAAAGAACGCATGTGAGGCGATTGCATATATGGATGCAAGTCAACCTTATACGCAAACGCATACTGTATAATGACAAGTAAAAATGTAAACACCCAAGGACGCTCAGTTTACTTGCTTCAAATGATACCTTCAATCAATTTTGATCTATGCTTCATGGTCCTTTTGATGAAAAACCATCACTTATATACTCGATATTGAAGTTGTTATTGTACTGAATCCTTAAATTTATTCTAATTCAACGCTTTTATGTGCTGGTGCAATTTATGCATTCACGAATTCCAGAACCTCGTTTGCAATGGTTCTTTATAAATTGTAAAATTCGGACGTGAATGGTGCTATGATGGATCAGGTGGCAATATATCATTATTAAATGCAGCTGCCACTATTATCTGCCTTATTTTTTGCCCATACAAATGGGCCCCTACTCGGCCCGACCTTCGGCAATTGAGCTTTGCAGTCGGGAACTGGTTGACCTTGCTCTCAAAAACTACATCAATTGAATCATTTACATGAAATTTGAGATAGAATTAGTCATACAAAACCACACAGACATTTTACAAGTCCATAAATAGTGAAACATTTAAAATTAGAAAATAGATTGATTCTGTGAATATTTTTAGGCGGTATTAAGCTTCAACACAAGTTTTTAATACAAATGAAGTAAGGTTTCACTGCAAAATTTATGTTGAAGATGCATCATTTAACTCATAGTAAAAATAAATATTTCTCAATTTTGAGTCAAGACATAACTGGAAACTCTAGCAAAGTCTCAGGTGAAAACTTAACATCGCGAGCTTTTTCTACTGTTCAATTGTACCGCAGAGAATATTATATATCTATACACATATTATTTTAATTGGAGTAGTTCGGCAGAAGCTTTTCTTTTATGCAAGTTTGATTGAAGACCAGAGGTTGTTTTTTTATTGATAATCTTCTTGTTCGTTTTTATTATTATTATTAAAAATAATAAATATATATCATATTATTCAAATGCACATAAGGTGAAGAAAACAGCCTCGAGAGCAGTTATCAAGATATGCAGTCTCAGCCCTGCTCATTCGATTAGCATTAAGACAAGTAACACATTTTTTCTTAAGGGCATAAAAAATACGGCTACTGTGACAACATTTATTTCTCGCCATTTCAGTGACGCTCAAGCGGGCGGAGAGGGCGAGTGGGCCGGCGAGGGAAGATGAATTTTTGTCAACATTGCAACAGCACACCAACGAGACGCGGTCCAGTCTCGCGCACCACATCCAAAACGTAAGATAAATTGTGCACCTACTTTTATTCTAGATGCAAGAACATTCTTAACAGCTGTTAATAGCCAATATAATAATATGCGTTCAGTTTAAGAATAAAGGCTAAAACCAAAAAAGTTGCATAAAACATTTTACTGAATAGAAGTCCTAGATAAATTCAGTAAAATGTTTTATGCAACTTTTTTGGTTTAGCCTTTATTCTTAAACTGAGAAGAACTCCTCGAAATATGCGTTCATATCAACAAAACAACTGCACATCAACGAAACTCGGTCTAGTCTCGCACACCACATCCAAACCTTGAGCTAAATTTTGCACTGGAACGGAAAAAGTGTCTGCCATGCTCGAATTGTTTGCATCTCATAAATACTGTAAGAATCCTGTCATGATAATCAGCCAGGTAAATCAGGGAATAAAATTTTCTACACTTTAAAATATATTCGTGCATTCTCCCACAACAAGAGTTTATCGGAACTAAAATCTTTCCTCTTATCCAAATAATTATTATCCCAAAACCCGCGTCCACAAGCAAACAGCGAATTATATAATGTCGGAAATTTAATAATCAACCATGAAATAATAATGAACGAATACTTTTCAGTTATGATCCTAAAAATTATTTTATATATTGAGGGCTATATTTAGAAATATTTTTCTCCAGGTAGTGCAATTGATGGTGAAAACTCTGCCATTTGATAATCAATCATTTAATTAAGACCAACGACGTCCATTCTTAAATTTAGCAAGGTTACCGGCAAAAATGGTACAACTGTTGTCCATGTATCAAGATCACTTAATTGCTCAAATAAAAAATTAACCAAGAAATGAAAAGTAAAGAAATCAGAAAAAAATTCAACATCTATTCATAAGAGAAAACGTTTCAGTGCCCAGCTCCTCTTTACAAGAGAAAACGTGCCCAGCTCCTCTTTATAAGAGAAAACGTCTAAGTGCACAGCTCCTCTTTATAAGAGAAAACGTTCAAGTGCCCAGCTCCTCTTTATAAGAGAAAAGTTTCAGTGCCCAGCTCCTCTTTATGAGAAAAAACGTTTCAGTGCCCAGCTCCTCTTTATAAGAGAAAACGTTTCAGTGCCCAGCTCCTCTTTATAAGAGAAAACGTTTAAGTGCCCAGCTCCTCTTTATAACAGAAAACGTTCAAGTGCCCAGCTCCTCTTTATAAGAGAAAACATTTCAGTGCCCAGCTCCTCTTTATAAGAGAAAACGTTTCAGTGCCCAGCTCCTCTTTATAAGAGAAAACGTTTCAGTGCCCAGCTCCTCTTTATAAGAGAAAACGTTTCAGTGCCCAGCTCCTCTCTTTAAGAGAAAACGTTTAAGTACCCAGCTCCTCATTATAAGAGAAAACGTTTGTGCCCGGCTCCTCATTATATGAGAAAACGTTTCAGTGCCCCTCTCCTCTTTATAAGAGAAAAACGTTCAAGTGCCCAGCTCCATCGTGAGGGTAAGATCATAGAAAACATGTATAATCAATTAGTAAACTATAAATCATACGTGATTGTAGTGATAACAGTTCAGAGTATCAGGATTGCAGCAGAGAGGAATTTAAAAGCAAAGAAAATACCACAAAAATTCACCATATCTTTATAAGAGAAAACGTTTCGGAGTCCAGCTCCTATTGCAGCAGAGAGGTACGGGCGATCCCAGCTCTGTGCGCCAGTTTCTGGTCAGAATCGGCGAGGAGGCCGGGCGGTTAATTAAGCAAGGCAAAATTGGAGCAGTGAGTCGCGTGATCGAGACCGTAACAATCTGTGAAAATTATGCGATGTTACGAATTGTCGACAGTTTTAACGGCCTAATAAATGCTAAAACCGCTACTACTACTAACAAATTGACAATTGAAAACAGATTCATATTAATATTCATAATAATAAGGTGGATACTCCATAATTGAAGAAAAACCCCACCAACGGTTGCGCGCACGCACATGAGGGCATTGCAAGGTGAACGTTTCGAAATTCGGAGAACGTGTAACGTCTTAAGAAAAAAAAAAATAAGTAAGTTGGAGAAACAGGCGATAGAAGGTTTTAGTTTTTTAGTTATGGTACGCCCTCAGCCAGCCTTGTTTAGCTGACTGGAAGGCAGGTAGCGATGTGGCTGCCACGACGTCTGCACTCAGGGAGTTCCATATTCTGATGGCCGACGGAAAAAATGAGTGTAGGTGAACGTCGGTTCTGCTGCGTGGAACCTGCAGCTGCTGTTGGTGCCCCCTTGTTGCTCGTGTGACTGGTTGGCATAGTCCTGAAGGAGGTTGGACATCGACTAGGCGATGCAGCATTTTGTACAGCATGCATGCTTTGTCTGCCGTTCTCCTCAAACGGAGCTCTTCCAGCTTAAGTCTGGCTACCATCTCAGTGGCACTGGATGTGGGGCTAAAGTCTCCCAGATTCTGGGGGCCGCTCTGCGTTGTATCATCTCAAGGGAGGTTCTCAGGTGCTGCTGATGCGGATCCCAGGCCGGTGATGTATGGTCTAACAGTGGTCGTACGAGGCTTTTATAGCAGTGAACTTGGACTTGTGTTTGGCATCCCTTAAGATTTCGACAGGCGAACGCGCAGGACCGGTTGGCTCTGGCTGCAGTTGCCTCATGTGTTTCCCCCAATGCAGAGTTTCTGATATTTCAACGCCGAGGTATTTGTCGCTGGGGACTTGTTCCAGCTCCTGTCCATGGACCGAGTAGGTAGAGGGCACTCTATTCCTCTTCCTGGTGACTGACAGCAGGCGGCACTTGTCAACGTTGAAGGCCATATCTGCCACTTTTGTTCCCACATTTCCAACTTTTCTAGGTCTTCTTGTAGTCGTTGCGCGTCAAGTCGTGATCGTATGCGAGAATACATGATCGTGTCATCAGCAAAAAGTCTGACTCTGGCGCTGGTTCATTCTCCGAGGTCATTGATGTATATAAGAAACAAGGTTGGTCCGAGCACCGAGCCTTGTGGGACGCCGGAGAGTACGCGGCCCACCCTGGACTTTTTCCCCCCCCACGACCACTTGCTGCGTTCGTCCAGACAGGAAACCGGTGATACACTGCTTGGCCCTTCCTCGGATGCCATAAAATTCCAGCTTCGGTAGCAGTCACTGGTGGGGTACTTTGTCGAACGCTTTGGAAAAGTCAAGTAATATAGTGTCCGTCTGGCCAGCCCGGTCAATCTCGGCAGCAAGATCTTCAACTGGCAGGATTAGCTGGGTGATGCATGACCGATTGCTGCGGAGCCATGCTGGGAGTCGGTGAGGATCTTGTGTTCATCTAGGTAAGCCGTGATCGAAGATCTCACATTAACGTGCTCGAGCAGTTTACAGCAGATGCAAGTGAGAGAGATGGGGCGGTAATTGGCGGCCTGGCTCCGGTCTCCCTTCTTGATGATAGGCTGGACGATTGCGTGCTCCCAGACGTGGGAAACCTGGCCAGTGTCCAAGGATTTCACAAACAGGAGAGTCAAAGCGGAGGCCAACTCCTCTGCAACCTCCCTCACCAGCCGGCACGGGATGCCATCTGGTCCTGAAGCCTTTCTCGGGTTGAGGCTTGCCAGTAGTTTGTAGACCCCATTTTCTGTGATGTTAATCTCTGGCACAGTAGGGTGTGGGCTGCTGTCTAAGACGGGCATGTGAGTCATGTCCTCTCGAGTGAAGGCAGTGCAGAACTGATTGTTCAGTATGTCGGCCTTAGTCATGCTGTCACTAAATGTGAGCCCGTTGCGTTTGGGTGGGGATACCGTTGCGTTTGGGAGGGGATACACCCACTGTATCACTGCCTCTGCTCTTGATGAGTCTCCAAAGGCAGTTTGTCGAGTCTTCTTCTAGCAGGTGTTTCACGTATCGCTGGTAGCTTTGTCTGTTGATTCTTCTAGCTTCTTTCTTCAGAACTTGAAAGTGATGCCAGTCTTCTACTCTGTTGCTAGTTTTGGCCCTTCTCCACGCGCGATACTTGTGTCTGGATTGTCTCTTTTTTTTAGTGTGTTGTTGATCCAGGGCTGATGGCGCTTAACAGACAACTGTTTGATGGGAACGTGTTGTTCCATCATATCTACAAGATGACTTTGGGTGCTCGTCCAAAGTTTGTTGACAGATTGCGTGGTCGACCGGCATTAGTCACGGCTAGACTGCTTTGTCTTGGACTTGATGGTGGTAAAGTCCGCTTTCTTCCAAACGCTAACTGTTCTAGCTACGGGTTTGCGATCTGCTGCCTTGATATGGCTGTCTACTAAGACGATGTCGTGGTCCCCAAGTGGAGGGATGGTGGTGGATCTGGTGATGAGTCTTGGTCTATTTGTGAGAAATAAGTCAAGGATGTGCTTGCCTAGTGTTGGCTTATCGTTCACTTGGAGGAGCCCCATTTCTGTGACCTTCTCCAAGAAGAGTTTATTGATTCTGGATGGGTACTGCCTCCCGGTCACTGTCTGGTCCTTCCAGTTGATGTCAGGCAGGTTTAGGTCGCCGTCGAGCCAGACAACGCCATCGGTCTTCACCTCGCTCAGAGCTTTGATGATGTCTGCCATTTGCTGGTCGCAGGGGTCTGCGGGGGATCTGTTAAAGGATCCTAGTGGTTCGTTCTTCTTTTGCGTCTGGACCTAAACAAGCACAGCCTCAGCGGGCGAGTTGTGGTAGATCTCATGGGATTTGAGGCCATGAGATAGAGAGAGATCTTGCTCCTGGCAAAATAAATAAATAACCATACAGTTGAATACTTTCAGGTGGCTGGGGTAATGAAGGACACAATGACGTCGCCTTGGGTGCCAGGAGCGGGCAAGCAACTGTTCCCAGGCGCGACGCCTGCGTGCCTGTCTTGCCAGGTGCTGGTCAAGGCGCTGTTCCAGTTCCTGCGCAGCACCACAGACACCGCACTCTTCTACAAGGGCCTCATTGCGATCTGCCAGCAGCTTCTCTTCAGACAGCCTGGCGTCTGTTCGGGGATCTTAAATAATGAGAAGGTGACTAATCAATAGCAATTATCAAATTAGCATTAATTAATCAAGTTCAATGATGCGAATTAATTACAAATACAGTTGCGTACTGGAATAACGCACAATGATTTCATTTCTTATCCAATTGCAATTGTAAACTGCTGTGTTTTTGTATTTGTGTTTAGGTCACGCTGCATCGTCTTTCATTTGTAGATATACTTCTGATAATTTGCTTCAAGAATTTCGCTTTTGCTAATTGATTGTTTAATTAATCGACAAAATGCTTGATATGGGCAATCATGTAAGTGTTTGATAAGAACCTCAATGTAAATGCTGAATGGGCCTACATTTGAATATAAAATACAATATTTTTAAATAAAAAATAATGCCTACACTTGATAACAAAGTAAATGCTGAATTCCTGTCTATGCGTAATATTGGCTGACAAGTGTAGGCTTTATATGAGCTAAAAAGTTGGTGTATGATAGGAATCATAATGCAAAGAACGAAAACGAGCTATAATGAAAATTTATGTGGGCTATCAAGTAAATGTTTGATTGGAACCATCAAATAAATGCTGAAAATTACCAAACTTACTGTCGTCAGCTTTAATCATAAAACTGATGGAAATGTGCACCATTGCAATAATGTACCTACGTTTTCCACAGGACGTGATGGAGTATGTCATACGTCGTGGTAGGGCCAATCACGTTCAGTTGTGTGCACTCATCTTCACCTCCAGCTACTTCCCCACTCCGCCCTGTGGGCTACAATTCCAGGACAAGGATTGGAGCGTTGATATTCCCGTTCCCATTCCCACTGGGCCCACGGGTCTACGTAAACATGTGGTAAATTTAAATTAGTTCGTTGCTGGATTTTAGTTAGGTCTTAAAGCCAACTTGATGGAACCCTTGAGACTTTTTTCATAGTAAACATCAAACTTTCACAATCCTCGTTATGGTCCACGAGGACCCCGAATCTCGTTTTGGTCCACGGAGTTTTGACGTAAAAAATTATAATTTTGTGGCTTGTTATATTCAGGATACTAAAATAAAAATAATAAATTCATAAATTAAAATTGTAGCGATCACCTTTAATACTATTTCATTTCGACATGTTCTGTTGTCCAGGCTCCAAAAGTCTCATCAGTAATACCAGTTGAACACAGGAGAGCAAAATCAACAGAGTTTAGCAACGAAGGACGGCCGTACCTGAAAGTCCTGCACCTCGCAGACCTGCACTACGACCCGAGCTACAGAGAGGGATCCAGCACGAAATGTGGAGCACCCATATGCTGTCAAGCCCAAAGCGGTCAGTTGGACAATGAAATCTTTTCGAAAATCGAGGAAAAAAGTATTAAAAAAACTCAGTTGTGCAACGAAATCTTTTCAAAAATTAAAGAAAAAAAACATAGAACCTAATCAAAATATGAAACAAATAATTTGTCAACGGTAAATCCAAACGATTTGTGCTCATGGTTTGGAAAACTGTGATCGGGAGGAGAATTTGACTTTAGAACATAGAAGACGCTCGTTTTTCCGGAATCTTATCACAATAACTTATCTTGCATGACCATTTTAGAATGTAAAACGGATGCTTGTGTTTTAATTAATCTGCTTTATATTGTAGGACTAATGCCAATATGTATAAAACGTTCGGTTAGAATATTTTCCCCTTTACAGGATCACCAATGACAGGCGAGGCAGGAGCGGGCAGATGGGGCGACTATGGACCGTGCGATTCCCCCGAGATTCTGGTGCGCAACATGCTGGAGGACATCCGTCGCCGACACAGCGTGAGTCCTGCTTTATACCCATACAGAAATAACGGTTGTGTGTGCGCAACATGCTGGAGGACATCCGTCGCCGACACAACGTGAGTCCTGCTTTATACCCATACAAAAATAACGGTTGTATGTGCGCAACATGCTGGAGGACATCCGTCGCCGACACAACGTGAGTCCTGCTTTATACCCATACAGAAATAACGGTTGTATGTGCGCAACATGCTGGAGGACATCCGTCGCCGACACAACGTGAGTCCTGCTTTATACCCATACAGAAATAACGGCTGTATGTGCGCAACATGCTGGAGGACATCCGTCGCCGACACAGCGTGAGTCCTGCTTTATACCCATACAAAAATAACGGTTGTGTATGCGCAATATGCTGAAGGACAGCCTTAGCCGACAGAACGTGAATCTTACTCATATACAAGCAAAAATAACGGTTGTGTCGACGGCGATGCAGAGGTGTACAAGGCGATTGAGAACTTGGCCTGCTGAGCAGTTAACTGTGATTAAAAATGCGACTGGCTTACTGAATTCGTAACTGCTGTGGTCATTATTCGATATCAAGTTAGGTTGCTACGCTCAGCCCCTTGATATAAAGTTAGGTACGCTCTGCCCCTGAAGGGCCACAGTCTATATAAAAAAACAAGGCGTTTATGCAGTTAGAGCGCCGTTGCAATGTGTTTCATGCCATGAATTCAACGTTCTTTATGAAATATAGTGGTAGTGAACGAGCGTTGTTTGAAGATTAGGCGGTCGAGCGCCGACTGCATCTGTTGTATTCCATTGAGGAAATCTGGGATCTATACCGGATGACTTATACTAAGATTCAAGTGCTGATAACGGGTTTATGCTTAATATATATTAACTAAACAGTTTGACAGTATTAAACGGCTGGTCAGACAGCCGAGAAACGCAGCGCGAGCTGAGGAAAGGATGTTACAGGAAATACGTGATTACCACAAATGTTCGAAGTCACTGACATACACCTGACCAAAAAAAAAGACTTTTCGTAGTAATATGTATATTTTCTCGGTAAATCACAGATAAAATTCAAAAAGCACTTATTTAATTTGTTAAATTTGAGAGTGACATGTGATCGTAAAGTTGTTTGTTCTTCTGTCTCCCATCGAATGCATTTTTTCGAAAGAATTAAAATATTTCTTGCGGGGACTTGACAAGAATGAACGAGACACGTACGTGCAGTCCTGCACCGAGATTGCCACAAATTTCGACAATTTTCACTCTTCGTTGAAGCTAGTAATCTAAAAAATATAACTCAGTACTCACTGCAGTGAGTGACAGAGAATGCATTTTCTCGTCGACGAAAACGTGAATTCGCGGACAGACGGACAGACAGACAGACGGACATGGCTAGCAGAATAGTGCATTTTTTTCCATAAATGAGAAAACGCGCTAAAATAGTAAAAAAAATCAGTAAAATCATATCTACAATAACGTGGAACTGCAATCAGTGCAATGCCGATTAAAACGCTAGCAATTTTCAAGCCGTTAGATGGAAATTGGCAGCCAAAATCTGTAGTACAGAAATAAACCCTGAATTAATTATAGAAATTTCAATTGTATGGTTCATTGTGTAGTGAATTATTGCAAATAAAAATCAGTTTTTATTTTTATTCTTCAACTTCAAAGTAGGAAATAGATAACACGGATTTCGCAGAAACGAATAGTTGAAAGCCAGGTTTGAAGAATTCTCTGTCAATTGCGTTCAGTGATTGTGGAAACAGTACAGAAAATTTGTATTTTTTTTAAATGGTATATTGTTTTAAGCGAATTTACTCTTGCCATGATATGGAATACATTTCCATTTAGTTGTCGTTAACTCACGAACGAAAACGTTATAAGGCCATATTTTTTGCACATTAGCACTGGACACATACACGCCATAGGGCATAGAGCCATAGACGATGTACGAAAGAAACCAAAATGTTCTGATGCAGTCTCCCCTCACCAGGACATCGACTACATCATCTACACCGGAGACAGCGTGGCGCACGACCTCTGGAAACTGAGTCGTGAGAAGAACACTAAAGTTATCAACAAAGTAGGAGAGCTTCTTAAAGAATATTTCCCGTACACCCCCATCGTCGGGGCGCTGGGCAACCACGAGTCTTTTCCGCGAGACAGGTACGCGATAATTTATATCCGCAGATTTGGTCACTCAAAAATATCCTTGTTTATTTATCCATTCAATTCAATTATCTCCATCTTAAGTACGTGAAGTAGACGAATTCATTGTTCAAAGACGAGCCAAGTAATTTGAAACAATCTATTGATCGATAAACGGATTCTAATCCCGTGAATACGTTGCAACACACTTTTAAATTGAAATAATTATTTCATAAACAATGCAATGGGAAAGTTGATTGTTCAATTAAACATACACGAGTAAAAACGCTTAGAACGGATCTTAATGCTCAACCAATTGACAGTTTTAGAAATATTATGTTTCCGCTTTGCAGAGGGATGACTAAATCATATTAACCAAAACCTTACAACATTTCCACAGTTTTCCCCCACCCGAGGACGCCACAGTCAACCGGAAATTCAGCAACTTGTGGCTGTACAACTTGATGGCCGACCAGTGGCAGAGCTTCCTGCCCAACGTCAACATCTCCACAGAAGCCAGGATATCAGGATCGTATTCTGTTCTAATCCAACCGGGATTCAGGATCATCTCGCTCAACACAAATTTCTGTTATAAATTCAACTGGTTTGTGTCTTGAAAAGGATTCGTTTAATTGCTAAAATTAACTAATTTTAACTTTCACCGCCGATATATATTTTTTTGTATTTGCTGTTGAGAACATAATTAGATTAATCAAGTTGAAAATGTAATTATCATTTGATTATTTGCATGTTAATTATATATGAATCCAAAAGCCTAGCGAGTGCTCAAAAATGACACCTATTCTCATTAAAAGCGTTTGGGGAACCAGCTGAAGGTATGTATAATCTATGAAATGAATAAATTTACACGACTAAATTCAAATAGATTGATTTTTAATTGATCAATATTAGATAAATTGATGGAAAAAACGGCATCTTAAACTTTTTAAGCCAATTTTAAGTATGAACTATGTTCAGGCAAAGTTTTTTTTTAAAAATTGCAAAGATGTCAAAGTCTTAAAAACTGGGATGTCAGCGTTGGAATTTAAAATTGCAAAATTGTTTTCGCATACAGTATACGTTGCACTGCTTGGCGTTAAAGCGCAGAGATGAATGAGGTGGTAGTGCAAATTGGTTCCCAGTACGATAATCCCTGCACCTAGTCTCGAAAATTACAAGTAAAAGTTACGATGATTGGGAGCTGCTTCTAAATCTGAGAGCATTGCGTCGGGCAAGACATTCGAATATTCTTATATATGAAGAAAGAATCCATTTTAATATTATTGAATTACAATACATACATTCAGAAAATAAGAGAACATTCATAGGTAAACATTTCAGAAATATCTCACGAAGAATATTTTAAATTATTTGAAATAGTTTCAGAAGAAGAGCCTAGGTATGCGAAGGGAAAAAAAAATTCCAATTATAAATCTCAAGGACAACTTTTTAATTTAAGTAAACAAATGGTTGGCCGAAAACCCATTTAAAAAAATTATTAGTTTAAGCGTTTTTAGATTATTAAAATTCAAGCTTATTTTTTTTTTTAATTTGTAGAAGCAAATTTTTAACCAACCACGTTTGTCCAGGTGGATCATGTACAAAAACAACGATCCCGGCAACGTGCTCCGCTGGCTGGTACGTGAACTGCAGAAGGCGGAGGACAAGGGGGAGTATGTACACATCATCGCACACATCGCCCCGCTCTATGCCGACTGCTATGAGCAGTGGCGATACCAATTCTCTAGGATCGTTTCTAGGTAAATATTTTCTAACATTTTAACCAACTTCGAAACTTGGCAAATTCTTCAGTCGCAATTTCTCCTCTGACTAGAACGAAAAACGTTTTTGCAATTTGTAATTTTTTGGCCCAGGTTTTCTGGGACGATCAGAGGCCAATTCTACGGCCACAGTCACATGACTGAGGTGCTGCTCAACTATGACGTTAATGACCCCAAGCGTCCCGTAGGAGTACAATACCTCACCCCCAGCAACACGCCCTATCACCGCCTCAACCCTTCATACACTCTCTTCTATGTCGATGGCAGCCATCCTGACTCGACACGAGTGAGTGCACGACCAAATTACAGCATATCAAATGATATAGAATAGAAGTGTCGGCACTGAAGAAATAGGCCCATGTCCTGTTGCCGATTCTTGAATTTTTCGTGACTTGATTCACAAGGGATCCGGCCTTTGGAACCCGATCTTTCCGTAACTGACGATTGATAGAGATAGCTGCTGGACTTATTGCTCTGCGCACTGAAGCCCAGTCTGATACGGACCCATTACTACTGACACGTTGTCGTCTCCCTACTAGAAAATCTCTGATCCATTTGAGTAAATTGCTGTCAATTCCCAAAGACTGCAATTTCCGCAATAGACACATAATATGCGCAAATAGACACAATATCTAGTCTAGTTGAAATGAAGAAACTCAACTAATCCGCGCTAGCAGAAGAATACATTTCCGTTGTCATTTGTTAATGGTAGTACTAGTTGATCGTACTGTGGAGTTCTGTTCTAACTGTTGAGGCAAGAGGTTCCTTGTGCTGAGCTCCCGTGACAGTAGCCGGCTTCGGCCGGCTGCTACGTCATCCTTTCTGGAACTATCTTTCTCGAAGTTTGAAAATACAGTACTGTCCCGCTCCGAGGCGTTGAGCCGGCGGATGCCATGGTACGACCAGCTACAGTGAAGTTTAACTCCTGAAGTTCTGCTCCCCTGAAGTTCCGCTGCATTTTGGATTTTAAAGATCATATCAAATCTTAGACATATATATTTATACAGTTTAATGCATTTCGGTGAATAATTATTATATATAAATGCGAACATATTACTCAGGCGGTGCTTGACTCGAACACTTACTTCCTGAACCTGACGGCGGCGAACGCCCACGACGACGTGACGTGGCATCTGCTGTACAGCGCCCGCAGGGACCTCAGCCTGCGGACGCTCGAGGCGCCGGACTGGCACGACCTCGTCCGCAGGATGGACAAAGATCCTGAACTTACACGGAAATTCCATGCGTGAGTAACTTAAAAGATTACTTGACTTGCCTAGAACTTTTAAATATAAATTAGGGAATCATCTCACTGAGAGGACTTGGAAACCTTAGGCGTGACGCTGAAAAATATCAAAGAAAGGGTTTCATGACCGAGTCAAATATAAGAACTTTCAAGTCATACATAATTATAGCCTAAACATTGATCCTGACTTAGCAATTTTTCCATCAACTTCATTAGTTTCTTACATTTTTTTTATAAATGTTAGTTTGACAGTTTTGTTGTGAGAAAAGTTTTGTAAATAAGATTATATCCGTGTAAAATCCAATATACCGGTACTTATTAATTTGCTATTCTATTAATTGTAACCGTTTCAACCGTAGTTTCTCAGTTATTCTGAGTTACTTAGCGGCACGATACAAGATTTATTAGTCATTGTCTTTCGTCGAAGTATTTATACAGAAGTCTTCCCTATATTTGTTGCCACAGATTTGCTGTGAAGATGAGCGACGTTCTGAAGGACGAATGCGACAAGAGCTGCAGACGAGTTATTGTCTGCAATATGGTGGAGAGCGACAGATTTCTGCCTAGAAAATGCAAAAATTCACGATAATATCTAATATCTAAATTTATCAATACATTATATTAGTATAAGTTTTCAATAGCTTGTTAATTAAATAAATTTCTGATGATCCCTCAAAGTATGTTTAAATAAAGATGTACATTATTTTACCTCAAGTCTTACAAAATGTACGGTACACCATAAGAGGGGCATGCCACTCTGCGGTTCATCATTACATGCAATATGTATATTAATGTTTGTGTTTGTTTGATACTCTATTTTACAAGTATATAGTTGTTAATCGCGGCCTATTGTAACTCTTTTTTATCTGAAAGTTTATTTAGAGTAGGAAAATTCTATGACATTGCAAAACAGGGGTTTGAATTAAAAATCAAAATCCAATATACTTTCATATGTCTATAAAAATTTATATTTTCAATGTATCACACATTAACAATTATCTTTGAATTTCAATCAAGTGGGGGCAAGCTTTTTTTGTTGAATGTGGGTTTGAACAGATGTTTCTTCCGTAAAATTTACATTCGATTAAGAAATATTATTAACGACCTGATTAAGCGGTTAATGAATCTACTAGTCCTATAGTGCGTGTTCAGGATATGAGTCTTATTGAGTGTCCAGGAAAATGTATCCAAAACTTTGTTACTAGCCCTCAAGTACAAGTTCTAGTGCTTATTTAGGATACAAGTCCTATTGCGTGTCCAGGATATAAGTCCTATAGTGAGTGTCCAGGAAACTGGATCGGAAAATGTTTTACTAGACCTAAGGTCATGACAGTTACAGAAACAGTAGTTGCACAAAAAAATGTGAGTTAAAAATGAATAATTGTGAATTAAAATTGAATATGTAATTTAGTTTCAAAATGTAATGGTTCCTCGAATTCTCATTAGGAGGTCATGTTGCGGTTTTATATTATCTGAGAATTGCAGTAAGTCTTGATTTTTCAGTCAGGATGAATTTGATTTGAGAATTTTTTGGATGGCAGAAAATATGAGTTGATATGAAAATTGTTAAGTTTCAGGGATTCTCTATTCCAATTAATGCCCAGGGATTGTCTATTTGAAATGTTAGTCTGAGTCTGTTAGCTATGAATTTTTCGCCATTGAAAGTTGATATAAGGGTGTGTTTCATATCTTCCATAATCATTTCAGCTTTCTTATAGCAATCTAAGAAATCAAAACAGTTCCATCGGCTTAATTACTTGGACAAGATAGCAAGACAGATTTTTTTTAAATCAAATAAAGTTCATACCATTGATTCTCTGTAAAGCACACAATAGAAAACAAATAAAATATTTTTTGTACATTTTTTGTCCTGTACACCGTTTAAAGATCTTTCATTACTATCAAATCGTAACCGCGTTATAAAATTCTTGAGCTACAACTACGTTCGTAATACCAAGCTTATAGAAAATATTGCTAGAACCAAATCATTAGGATCCAGCGGCTGATATGATATATAAATACTACTGAGACATGCCTATAATTAACACGAGGATATTGCTATATAAGATAATAATTGAGTAGAGAATATAGAGAATATGCCTCTTAATAACTTGAGGTTCTAATTAACTATACAAGATGATAGGATATGTGGTGCAGTTGTGCTGCAGAGAATGATGAAAAAACATATAAATTACACCATAAATGATAACTCTCTTTCATTGAGATCATCATTTGTACAATAAAAATGTATAGAATTGAACTACTATTAATTTGCTTTTAAAATAGATAATTGATTGTAAAGTGATTAAGGTGACTCGTCCACTGACACTTAAGATCATTTCTCCGCCGCAGAATGACTTTATCAAAGAAAACTTAGAAAGCTAAGAAAATAAAAAAATCATATCATTACCTTTAAAGCTCCGTAGTGTTGGCAATGTTTGATACATCGCAAATTTACGAGACTTTCTGACGCAAAACATCCGCTAAGATTCGAATAATTTCTACACAATCTATGTATATATACCAACAACAGAATAAAGTATAGGTAATATTTATGAATGCTCTCAGAAGTTTCACTCAATTATAAATCCATTGTATTCATCTAATAAAACACATGATTTCGAGCAAATAACGTGCGTTGCTAATTTGAGAATAAATAAAAAATAATATAATTAAATAAAATATATATATTTATTTCGCACTTAACCCTTGTTCGACAGCATAATTTTAACACGTTACGATCGTACCGAGTGCAGGTTCAATCGTAAGCAATTGAATATAAAAGTTGAAACAAGTTAATTTAAAAGATTGAGCATCGCTTGCACGTTTGTAGCCTTGCAATGCAAATGCATGGAAGATTATCGAGGGCGTGTCCACTATGTAAATCGTGCAAGGACGTGAAATATTTATATTGGTGAAATCTTGAGATATCAAAAGATGGAGTCACGAAGGAAAGATTGAGGCACGACATTTTATTATCATTTTGTTTAAATTGAAGAAAGTAAATTTTTCATTATATCATTAAAAAAGAATTAATATGAGTAGTATTTTCAATGAAGGTTTGAATGGGTCTTCCTTTAAAATGCATTTCTCAGCACTAATAATTATTATGATATATAGAAAAAGAATGTGTTAAATGGTTTTTAGAAATCTCTAGTATTATCGCTCTTGAGCTTTGCCGAGATCGCCTGCTAGCTTACAACAATATACATTTTGAAAGTCTTTACCAAAATCTGCTTTTGTTATAAAATGGTTTAGTTTGACTTTAGCTAGCGCTTGCTACTCTTCAGGAACATCAAAGAATTATTAAATTTTGTAATACTGAAACAGATTTTATTTAAATGCTATTATATAATTATATTATTCATTTTTAATTACATTGCAAGAAAATGCCCCGAGGTATAGAAAAATAAAGCTTAACAATGAGATTATTATGCATATTCAGTAACATGATAATATAGTTGCTCACCTCTAATGGGACGTTGCAATTAAACATCGCACCGGGGCTTTGAAAGACTGGTTTTGGGAAATAAATTAAGTTCATCTTGAAATATGCACAAATTAATTTCAATAACGAAAGAAAGGGTAAAATATTGCTCCTGACGATAGTGAGAGAAGTGGCATCACCGCCTTTTAAACACCAAGTTCGAACATTTCGGTTGGCATAAGCTCCAGATATTTGGTTGCAAAAGGAGCCAGTGGAAGCAATTACGGTAAATGTGGTGTTTCTTGCACGTATAAATAAGGGGAAATATCAAGTGTTTAGTTCATAGGAGATAGAACAGAAGCAGGAAGTTCGGTTTTTACGTCAGGCTTGCAGCCAAGCATAAATTTAATTTAATGTCTAGGCATGTGAAAAGGCGGTAATAATGTAGTGCCTTACATTGAAGTGTATTTTCACGCTTGAATACCAGTTGTGGGAACTTCTACATGCGACGATTCATTAACCGTCATCATTAACCTTATGCGAGCTAACCATCAGGTAATTAAATGGGACTTCGAAAGTTTACAATGCAAGAGACTAAAACTTGTAAGATAATTTCAGAATTTAAACTTGTGAGAAATAATTTGTAGAATTGCACAGCATGATTCCATTCTAGAACGATAATTTTTGCGCTGATGCCTAAATAGCAGAAGGAATAAACGAATACCGGTGTTTTTTTGCTTAAAATTCAGATACGTAAGCCAGCACGTATATATATAATCTGCCCAGTCTAATATACCCAGAAACATAACACAAACTTCATAAATGTTCAACAATATAATAAAAAACCTTCATCATCGTTTACCGGAGATAAATAATATCTGCTTCACTGCTTCTGTTCTGCGTAGCATGAGTACCTGGTAACTATGACGTCATTAATAGTTTATAAAAAACTCGGGTAACAGGAATCAAAGTCAGATAGCAGCCCAGTGGCCTGAGGCTTGCCCGCACCTAGCTGGCCTGTACGAATATGTCCGACAAGACCGAGCATTAAATTAAATATGCTCGATTTTAAATATTCATATTTCTTCACAATATTATTGAAGTCGAATCAATGTAGTAGAAATTGCTACTAAATGCATAAAATTTTTATTTAATTATAGTAAAAATAAACTGAAGAAGCCGTTACACAGGCATGGTCTCTATACAAGGCCGTTCACAGTTTAATTGCACACATGTTTTGTAACTTTCATTATTATTCATAGGGTTGAGCAAGCATATATGTTCATATTATGTTTTAATGTTTTAAATTTACTACATTCATCATTCTTTTTACTAATTTTCACTAGATTTTATTTATTCCATGAATTGTAGAATATCTGGAGGACTTAGTTAGATCGGAGCTGAGTTTACACGCGTCTCTCGTTCATATTACATTATCGAATATACTCGCAAATTCAAATATAATAATGAAATCAATGTTAATTGATCTCAACATACTAGGAGCAGGCAATGAAAAGGCTAAATTTTGTTGCGCTAGTAGGATAAGAGATGTTGTCCAAGCTTTGTTCAGTTCAGTGTGTTCCAGACATCAGCTGGAGAAGGTGTTCACGAGAGTCTGTCTCAAGTACAAGAACGTGCAAAAGTGTCTTCACAATTCAGTTTGGTCGCTGCAAAAATGTCTGGAATGCTGTTTACTCTGATGGTGAGTGGACCGTAGAGAGTTTAAGCTGCTGCAGAGAAAGTGGTTTGTTATGATAATGAGGTAAAAGTTACGCGACTTTTTAAAACAAGACTCTTAATATATAGCCCGAGATTATCACCATGGAGTGAGAGATGCTGCTGTATTTATACAAAACAAACAGCGAATGTTCCCGCTATTTACACTGTATTATTATCAATGTTTTATTACTGGTGGGAATGCCTTGCAACCCCGACCATCAATATTTCTCATTCAGGGTATCTTGGAGCGTTTTCATTAGAAAAAGGTTATATTAATATATTATAATGCTCGCAATAGTCATGTTTCGCATTAATATAGAAAAATATTCAAAAGTTGAACAAAAGACTTAACTGCACGGTAGCATGGCCAGTAATTTAGACTGCAGCTCACTGGTGGCAGGGTGATTAATCACAGGTGAATTCTGGGAACCTCATCTCTCCCATGACGTATAGGTAATAATACACGAGCGGGATTTGTTGCAGGGGGGGGGGGTGTTGCATGAGCAACATTCATATTGATCATAATAATTTCATGCTGCATGATGAATTATTATCCCCCTCTGCTCTATCATCTAACAAATGAATAATAATATAACTGCTAGAGGTGGAAGCCCTGCGTGAGAAGCAGTTATCGTGTTCAAATTGTGTATAATAAGAAGCACACACGTAAAGGTGCGCCGCTATTGTTCCGGTTGGTCCAAGGTTGTAATGAATTCCTGGTAAGCAGGGTGTCTAACTCTTAGAATATAAGCTACTCTTAATCCGCGTTATAGGGAATATATCAGTAGTTTTGTTTCTTCTTGTTTATACGCAGATGAAAAACATTTCTTTGGAATGATTTGGATAGCTTATCTATGACGAGAGGCACACGTGCGAATAAAATAATTCCAATTTGTGATTCATTTTGTGATTCATGAGATATAGAATCTTTAAATGATGGATGATTAGAGCGGCCAAATGACGTCAGAAGCAGATTACGTACCAAATGCCCTTTTGACTCTCGCTAATTTCGAACGATAAATATAAATGCGTTACATTGATGGCAGCACAAAGGCTAATGCTTTGCTGATCACGATTTTGGAGAAATTGCTGACTCATAATATAATCATCGAATGCTACCTAGCATTTTTCGACATCGAAAAGCCCATCGCGACTCACAAAAACTACGTTATTCTCAGCTAGAAAATAAGCACAAGGATGCACGTGGGAAGTAAATGTTCTCTAATTGAAATTCAAACACAATAAAATCTGAGTTAAAATTATAGAAAAACAGAGACTTTTCTATACAATAGAATCCCCGAATTAAGGAACTCAAAGGATAAGTGTAAAGTTTGCTTATAAATATTTTTATTTAAATTAATTTTCAACCCAAAATAAGCAACAAAAACTTGAACGTTTTTCGAAAAAAAACTTAGTAATAATTAAAATGCTCACGCCTTTTAGCGAAACCGGCTGTGAACTCTCAGCAAGCAAGAGGTCGAGGCTACCCAATACCCATCTTATGTCTATTGGGCTGCATTCAACTATCAATTGAATTCTTTATGAACGAACAAATGAACAACATAAGAATCTTTACTTTCTTACATAAAATATAATAAAATTTACTTTTTAACTCTAGCGTTAATAGAGATTTACTTTATCAATGATAGGTGTTGCGGAGTCAAAACAAGACATCCTTTCTCTCAACATTAACTAATTAGGGTGAAAATCTCAACATTTGGGTTGACAGTTTTCGACATAGAAAATAACCCATAGTCATATCTAAATTAGTGTTGAAGTGTTTTACCGGGCAACATAAAAAATGTGAACATGAGAATTCTAAAGGAATACTTGTTGAACTGACAGCTTTATGCTAATCGTTATAGAGGGCATCGCTTTTAACAATGGTAACTACAAATTTTCTTATTAGGGTAATAATATGGTCCACGGTGGCATGACATATTGAGCACGCACTCCGTTATTGAGAAATGACTGGTTACTCTAGGTGAATGATTAAGAATTATTATCTCTTCTAAATGTGATCTAATTTCTACTGAATGTGACATTTATTTTAGTTCTTTCAGTGAAGGACTAATATCCATGTATATTCACTGTATTCATAATTATTACGTCAAAATCCCAGTTAACCTCAGAACGCGGATACGGAAACAAAACGATGTAAATGAGGACGTATTCATTTATCGCAGCATAAGAGTCACTAGAGTTGACGAGTTGACTGAAGGAAGCTAATCGCACATAAATTGAAATACAAGCAGTGGAATGATAATTGAACTTGATTAGGTTTGTGGTATCAATAGCTTAAATGTATTTGTGTTGGGAGGTTTTTACATTTTCTATGAAATGGCACATTATCGCTATGATGAGGCAGGAAACTTCCAAATTCAATTTACGCATCAGTCTTGTCATTTGACATAATTTAATAAAAATTCAAAAGATGACTCTAATTTCATCATCCGCCGTAAGAACTTCCGTAAATGACATGTTGCATCGCACGAGGAGGCAAATTTTTGCAAACTAATAAATTTGAACTACATTAGAATTGTGAATGGAATTAATGTTTTTGTTCAGGTGGTGATGCTGTCGATGGTGGCGAGCGCACCCGTGCCTCAGAACCGGGACTCTGAACTCATCACAGGGCCTGTACAGGTGAGGTTTTTTACCGTCAAGTTGCCTGCTTCCTACAGCCGTGCATGCGGTGACTGCTCCGTGACGTCATCTAACTGTTTAATGAATTTTTACCGTCAAGTTGCCTGCTCCCTACAGTCGTGCATACGGTGACTGCTCCGTGACGTCATCTAACTGTTTAATGACTTTTTACCGTCAAGTTGCCTGCTTCCTACAGCCGTGCATGCGGTGACTGCTCCGTGACGTCATCTAACTGTTTAATGATTTGTACTGCGTTTAAACAGATAGTGCCTAAGATACGCACCTAAATATAATATCCTATATATTATTGTTCGAATGAAAGTTTAATTTCATGGATTATTCTTAAGCTTTTTGTTCTGGAAATTCGCATCTGTCGTTTAATTGAGTGAAACACACTAGACACTACAGCATACTTACATATTCGTGTCTTTAGGTCCACCAGATCAAGTATTTTCTTACTACTTGTGTTTCATGATACAGAATTGTAGATGGTCATTGAAATATTTTCCATAGATGAAGTAACCAGGCAACGATTAGGAATTTCACGAAATTCTGTTCGTGATTACGACTACTATTCCGTCTATGTATGATTCCTGGACTGGAAGTAGTTTCAAAATTCGTATGGGTCCACTTAGACTTTAGTATAATGAAGTATTGTAGAATCGGTGATGAAGAATATGCCAGCTTTTGTAATGTTGTGCTTGAATTGTCTCTTAGAAGTTGAAGATCTGGGGCCCTGTCTTGAGACAAAATCTATCAAAAATGACGTTGAAGTTATCTAGTTGCTCATAAACATACTGTATAAGCAATTGGAGGCTCGAAACTCAAGAAACTGTAGAAGTCACTGCAACAATTGTGATGTTTTCACTGTCTTCGAGAAAATTTAGAAAATTATAATTAAAAAAAACACCTTTTTTTTTGGATGTAGTTAATCTGCAATAATACCGGACCAAAGCACCAGTACCACTCACCAGAAAAAGGACCGCTCATCTGACTGAATTATTAACAATTTATACTGTTTAAAAAAAGTCTTGTAAAATTTAAATACTTCATAAAATAATTAATAGAATTCTTTAAACTATAAAAATTTCAGCAGCCATGCAAATCAACGATAATATGAATAAAGCTAACAAAATTTATCTATTTACAATAAAAAAAACTTTCTGTCGTCGATACGTTATGATCATCCTCGGTACGTAAAATATAAATAGATTTAAAATTTCGTATGTCATTCCTGTGAAAACGTTTTCCGTGCAACAGTTCTCATTTTTTTCCAGCTCCCATCGTTCCCCGACAGCCTGGCGCTGCCAGGGGACGGCTCGGTCATCGGAGAAGTGCTCGTGTCGAGTCCAAACGTCGCGGTCAAGCGCAGCAAGAAAAAGTAAGCCAAATTTTGAAAAGAATTTTTGCCCTAGAAAACCTCGTGTACTAATAAAGCTTTACGTTTCATTGAACGACGTTCGGCGCTATGACTAAGAGAATATCATGATATAATGGTAATAATAATACGAGAACGATGTACGATCGAGAGATACATTGCGTAATTCAAGTGAAATGAATTTTGATGTAGATTTTGAAACTAAAATAAACTTCCTTAAGGTATATTTAATTTCCATGAGAATAATCTCATGCATCAGTGATACATTGTACGTTCAAAGGCTGTTCGAAGAATTAGACTTAAATTCTAAATAGATCTCAACTATGAAATTAATTTAACCGAACTTTTAACTATGGAAGGCCTTGCGGTTCTATGAATTTTTGGTACACTGCAAACTCAAATTTAACGTAAATGTTACTTTTATTACCACTTCCAACACATCTGGTCTCGATAAATAGTTTCAAATGCTCAAAAATAAAAATGTAATGCTCATAATATTGACGAGAAAACATGAAATCCACAATTTTTCGAGGTTTAATGTGAACAATTTGTTTTCAGCAAAGATAAGAGTCAGGCGAGCGGGCCGAGCTTCGCCGCCCGCACGAGTAGCGACACGGCACAGAACTTCATCGGTGACACGGTCTTCTTCAGCCAGCCGTCTGCAGTGATACAGACCTCGTAAATAGCCAGCATATTAGACCATCTCCGACGGTCTTCTTCAGCCAGCCGTCTGCAGTGATACAGACCTCGTAAATAGCCAGGATACTGGATAATCAGTTAGCCTATAATGCGATTTTTTTAGACCAACCAAATTCAGAAAATAATAAACCAGTGGCAAGATCAAAGCTGATTAAAAATGTTAAATTATCGTATTGTTTCATTGGAAAATAATGGAGCAGGATATATTTCAACACGCGCATGAGATGGCTTGACTGCATCGCTTGAACAAAAAGCTATGATCTGAGAAATTTCGAGCAAAAATTTCACATCTACACTTGCTCTGTGCTTCATATGATTTGGGTGACGTTGTAAGTAGTTTTAGCGTGCACATTTAACGTGAAACTAACATCTCGCCTCCTACTTTATTTCATTCTCTCTGAAGAATCTTTTTCCAGTTCCATTTTCAACTCCAGTCAAGAACTGAACTTGGTTTCTTCCTATTACAACATAAATATATTATAAGTAAAAATTGTTAATACAAGAACTAAGTGAGACCAAAATCTAGCTATTGTGATTGTTACTCGAGGGCAGAATTTATACATCTGTGAATCGAATTATCAATTTAAATTCTCGATAATATGTATTCCAAATTTATTCATTACCCTTCAGTTAAAAATTCGTAGAATAGAACATGCTTGTAATTCTGTTAATTGTGTTGAGGTTTCAATTATAAGCATAAAAATTTTTGTGGTGACCAAGGGCGAAAAACTTTAATTAAGTCACTTGGTTTATTAAATACATGTAAAAGTTGCGTTAAGGTCCAAATTATCGTTTAATCAAGTTCGACATACGTTAATCAATCATATGAAAATAGGCAAGATGCGTCGTGCAGTTAAAACATTCAAACTTTGCTCAGCAAATTATTATTTTAATAAAAAATACAATATGTTTGACGTACTAATGAGATATTACCAGACAATGTACATTTTCTATTTTTTACAGTGGTATTTAGTAGAAAAATATGTACAATGAGTACNAATAGATAATATAGAATACATATAACTCCTTCAAACGAGCAAAACCCCTTAGATGCACTATAAAAAATCCCTGAGAGAATGCAATGAGTTCCTTGTCAAAAATCCTCCATAAAAGGAACTGCTTCGGGTCGTGTAGGAAGTCTTTGGAGGAGCTTCCCTTTGGCACAGCCTTTGTTACAGAGACAAAGACCAGGACGTGCATCCTTCGTTACAGGAACTACACGCTCGCACAAAGGAGCGTACGCTCTTCAGAGGCTGCCATTATAGCCTCCTCACAGAGATTAAACAAATTCGCTTCATTATTCAGGAGACGAAAAGCAACACAGAGTTTACTCTCTCTTAGAAAGAAAGTCGGTGATGTACGCTAAAAAACGATGTGAACTAATGTCGAAATGTGGCTTCTATTTTAAGTGATAAAAGTGCGAGGAGAAAAATTGTCGGCAAAGGACGATGGTCGAATAACCAACTTTCTTAAGAAAGCAGTTTGCTATCTGTGTTAGTTATGGCTTTTAATCAAGTTTATCTACTTATTAATTTATCCATTCAGGCTCGAATAAAATAATTGGTTCAAATTCTTACTGCTCTTGTCACTCTGATTCTCATTTGTTTCAATAGCGTTCTTCTTTTAGTCTGAATCCACGCGAATTCGTGTGCGCTAAGTTTTCTAGTACCGCGTTACAGAAGAATAAGGCGCAGTCCGCAGCCCTTAAAGAGTTATCGATGTTTGCTGTCTATTAGTTGTGTGCTAACTGGGGAACTAATTTTATGAGATGGGGAATTTGAATAGATTTAATGATTTTCTTCTGGTACAAAATACCACAAATTTTTTTTGCGCTGAACATTATATGTTCAAGATAAAGTCATGAGTGACTATATGTTTGATAATCATTAGAGGAACAAATTATTCATACAAGTAAATAATTCTGGCAGTTCAGTGTTAATCCAAATCACAATGGTGGACTGGACGTAATTTGCTCATAAACTACATGGAATGACACTCGGGGAAACTCTAAAGAGGTAGAAAAATCCACCCTAATAGAAAAATCATCAATAGAACCGTAAAATACTGAGTAACGATCATGAGATACTGAGTAACGATCAATTGAACGGCCGTTACCTATCCGAACACGGCACAGAAATAATTCCCAAAGGTAATTCCCCCGCTTTTTTGAAGTTCAGAACTTGGGCGCACGCTAAAACAGGGCCTCTGAACACATGTTTGCTTTCACCGCTCGAGATGATCGTCGACACACATATGGTCGGTCGCCGTCTGATCTTACGCACGATTGGCAGCTGGAAAGATTTGCCGGCCAGTAATGCAGGCGCTGAAAATAGCTCATCGCGAAGAGAGGAAAAATGTGAAGCGGCAATGGGGGCTGTATTTCGAATACGCACGAAGAGAGGAAAAATGTGAAGCGGCATTGGGACACTATTTCGAATACGCACGAAGAGAGGAAAAATGTGAAGCGGCATTGGGACAGTATTTCGAATACGCATTTTTGCTGAGGCTAAATTACGCTGGAACCTAGATGACGATAGTTAAACTAGTAATAAAGTAATCGAATGAAATGAACCAATCACATAAATGATTAGGGATAATCTGCTTCAATATATTGTTCTTTTAGCTTCGCCTTAATAGATTGTTATAATTACAATATTAATAGCCTAACACACGATCATGTAAAATATTGCATCAACAAACATTATTGTTATACGGTTTATTTTGCCAACCGTTTGTCAAATCAAATAATAATCATGTAACAAAAAATCGTTTGACTAAATTGAATCCTAAGTAAATTCATTCATGTAATCAAAATTGAAATGCATTGAAAAATGATTTATTCATATAAACCTAAAGAAAAAAGCATTATGCAAACAAATAAGTCATTCAAAGGAACGAAGTAAATGAGATCTTATATGAAATAGAATTTTTTACCTCATAAGCTCATTCTGCGACGCCGCTTTGATGTGCGAATCGTAATACATTATCTGTGACATCGATCACGTCTCAATGTTTTCACCGCAGCACAGAGCAATACTGATGCGGCCAAATATTCCCAGACTTATTTCTTTTGACTTATACAAGTGAGGTAAACAGCTGTGAAGATGCGGCCAAATATTCCCAGAGTTATTTCTTTTGACTTATACAAGTGAGGTAAACAGCTGTGAAGATGCGGCCAAATATTTCCAGAGTTATTTCTTATGACTTATACAAGTGAGGTAAACAGCTGTGAAGATGCGGCCAAATATTTCCAGACTTATTTCTTATGATGTCTTCAAGAATGAAGGAATCACTTTAACGAAGAAGCCAGGCGTCGAAGGTTGCACATCAGCACAACGAAGGCTGTGCAGAAAATCCTGGTATTGTTGCCTAATAGCATCTTAAGGACCTAAGTAGGTCAATACTAAAAAAAATTGAAAACCAGATTAATCACGTTATTATCGGTTAGGATCCGCAAACATAAAGAAACATCAGAGCCCGTACTTTAAAGCTTGTTTTGCATATCGCTGCTGTTGGATTACATAGGTTTTTTGAAATCAAGTAAGGGAGTTTACCCGTGGGAAATCACATAGCCAGCTTTTGGTCTCCCCTTTCGTTGTTTGAAGTTCAGCAGCCAAGTTGACGTGATCCACATCTTTTTGGCGAACATGCATTTTTAATGGAAGCAATAAAACATGTAGGTATCTTTTATTCCTGATGTCAAACATGTTCATATATTACCTTATGTTTTGTTTTTATCTTAAATATTTGTAGAGTCTCTTTTAGATTTATATTACATAATATGATTGATACATTGAGTTTTGAAGTGTATGCATGCTATGGCTAAAATACCGACTGACGTTAATTGCAACAGCAACGACTGGCTGCAAACAATCAACTGCCATTTCATATTTCTGGTCTTTATAGAAGTATAGAGTTTCTGTTTATAAATAAAAAGTTACTGCCATTATTTACCTCACCATACGACGTGCATCTAACAGACGCAGCGTTACCTATGTCACCATACGACGTGCATCTAACAGACGCTGCCGTTACCTACGTCACCATACGACGTGCATCTAACAGACGCTGCCGTTACCTACGTCACCATACGACGTGCATCTATAGGAACATACCTACGTCACCGTTACACACGCTGCCGTTATTATTCGTAACCCACTGACAAGTATCTGACGTCGTAACGGGTTAACGTGTATGATCTCAGGTATGAGATCCAGCTCTGAGACGTTCATCAATATGTACTAACTTGAAATAGATCCTGATGTCTGACGAGTCTTCATTAGATAGATCCTGACTCCATCAGCCAATCACTTGTCGCTTTTCAAGCTAAATCCACCAATCAGAGATGAGCAATCGGCCGCTACGTGTACTTGAGCGAGTTTTGATAACACGGCTCCTGCAACGCCTTAGGTAAATAATGAATAATGAATTATCGGGAAGGATCGTCAGCGGTGAATACTGCGGGATGAAATTTGTAATGGGGGTTAATTTCAGATCAAATTCAGTTTCTACAAAATTTCTTGAAGCAGACAGCAGGCAATGAAAAATTTACTTATGTTCTAAAATTAAGTCTTGATCACACTATTTTCTTGGAATTGTCATTGTATACGAAAATGAGTGAATGAAAATATTTTAAAAACGTCGAAGAATCACACTTCGCGATCATTCGATCAATCGGTTACGTTACATGTAACTACAACCAAAACCTAGATAATATTTCCTAGAATTTCTATAATTTAGTATAATTTATTTCTATAATTCATATTGTCTGAAGCCGATACTATTAACGGAACAAACAAATAAGAACAAACACATACAAAATTAGGCATGCATTTGACATATGAAATCATAAACTTGTCTTCCGCATGAGTTCGGTCTGCTAGACGGTGGCAATAATTACCCTGAAGTTTAATATGAATATCCCTGAAGTTGAAATCTGTTCAGATTAGTTAGTGAAGCCTTTATAAGCTCCAATGTATAAGACAGGCTCGCAACTAAGCCTGCACAAACTTTCCCGGAGCTTTTGGTATTTAAAATAATTAAACGCGGGCTAGATTGCTACGGAGGAACAGCTTTTGTTCTGCACCGGCATCTTGGATGGCAATTTGATATGCAATATGTACTAACACTGAAATTTTTATTTGTTATACATCTGTGGAATTTTGAGGAGCGAGGGAAATAGCAACATGTAGCATAAAATATTTTCAAAATTAACAATACTAATAAGTTGAACAACTAAACCAATGACTTAATACGTCTAGAATTCATTTTATTGTTATATTTATGCGTTCTTGTGCATGAAGCATTGACGAAAAAAAAGAAAAGATAAACATGAATGATAAAAGAAAAATTATAAGTATAATTGAATGAGTAATTTTAGACAATATCTTAATGTCCAGGAAGTAGCAGCCTGCTATAGGACTCGCTATCAATCGAGAAACATTGTAAAGAAGCTCCGATTGGTGAAACTGAAACCAGACCAAAATTGCTTCTCAAAGCGGCACGCTGACCTTTACAGGAAAGTTTGAAGCCTCGAGGAAGCTGTTACAAACTTGCCCCTTTAGTGAAGTTGTCTGGAGACACTAGCCTTGCAGCGCCCCAAAGTTGCACG